CATAAATCTACACTGTAAAAAAAAAAAAAACTGTGCTAGTCAGAACTGAAGTAAAAAAAATTTGGTAGCAACATTTTCTTTTTAGTGATTAAGCTTAAAGGGGTCATATGATGCTGCTAAAAAGAACATTATGTTGTGTATTTGGTGCAATGAAATGTGTTTATGCGGTTTAAAGTAAAAAAATACATAATTTTCCACATACTGTACATTATTGTTTCTCCTCTATGCCCCGCTTTTAAAACTGGTCGATTTTTACAAAGCAAGGTGTACTGTGATTGGCCAGCTATCCAGTGCGTTGTGATTGGCCGAATACCTCAAGCGTGTGACGGATAATAATTACGGATTATAATAACTTATACTGTCTGGCAGGACTACTGGCTGGACTCCGCTTCGTCCACGGTGAAAACCGATCCGGCGATCCACAGCACTAAGTTGATGTATTCCCTCACCAATCCACGACATGGCGGTGGCAACAACAATACTACAGTGAGCATAAAAGTTACGCCTTCTTTCTTTGCGTGAACATTTGGGCGGGTTTAGGCAAATCTTCCCACATCGTGACGTAGACATGTGGGGGCGTGTTAGAACGAGCCGTTTTAGGTAGGCGTGGTTGACTCTTAACTTTTATAAAGAATATCTCTTTGGATTTGAGACTTTAGTCTTTGCAACTTTACAGATCTTCTTTATGCACCAAGAGCTTGTAACACTCCAAAGAGAAAGGAAAAATTGAAATCGCATCATATGACCCCTTTAAACTTACATTAAAAAATTAAAAAATCAATAAAAATAAATTAATTTTTTTACAGTTTTAAATTAACTGATATAATTTTACAACCTCAAATCAGAAGTAAGGACGTTTTGTAAAATACAATGAAATCAAGAATCTGTGATTTGTTAATTCTCTTTATCTTTTATTTAATTGACAAAAGTACAAAGAAAAGATTTCCAATGTTTTCACTGACCAACTTAAATGCAATCTGTAAATGTAAACAAATTTTGATTTTGATGGCTGCAATACACTCCAGAAAATTTGGGGCAGAGGCAAAATAAAAGTGAAAAGGTTATAGAATGTCCAAATGAAACTGTTTTGATATGCTAATGGACAATGTTAAACTGTTGAATTAAAAAAAAGTCTAAGAATTTGAGGTAAAAAAAATATCCTGTATGAAAGTTACGTCGCTCTGAGTAAATCTCTTGCAGTCGGCTGCCGCAGGGTGGCGACAGAGAGCACCGCGCTTACGTATATTATGAGAGAAGTGTCAAACAAATAAAAAATCACATTTCTCAATGTAAAACCGCAAAGAATATAGGTCTGCTTGCAGTCCAGAAAATGTATGACCAGTCATGAAAAGGAGAATTAGACGACGACGACCACAGACTGTTGAGCAGCTGAAGCCTTGTATCAAGCGAGATTGGGCAAAAATTTTGCTAAACTTTAACAATTACTATCCTCAATTCCCAAACGATTAAACATTGTAATTAAAAGGAAAGTTGATGAGAGACAGTGTTAAACATGCCTTTGTCCCAACTTTTTTGGAGTGTGTTGCAGCCATCAAAATTAAAATTTGTTTATATTTACAAACTAATAATTTTTTGGTCAGTGAAAACATTGGAAATCTTTTCTTTGCACTTTTGTCAATTAAATAAAGGTTAAAAAGAATTAAATAATCACAGATTCTTGACTTTATTGAATTTTACAAAACGTCCCAACTTTTTCTGATTTGGGGTTGTAAAATACCAACCTACCTAAGTATTAAAATGTATTTTGCATTTTCTTTATAATACAGTGACAACCACCAAAAACACAGGTAGCATTAAGAAAGCCACGTGTAAAACCAAAGTTCATCACACACAGTTTTTTTCCTTCCAAGCTGAGGTAAATACTATTATATAGAAGGTGTGTGGTGTCATACAGCATCATGGTAACACACAACACTAAAACAATGCAATAGACAATTTAACAACATAATATATAACCTAAAACGCTAATGTACATAACTGATAAGAAAAAACTAAAAAGAAACATACTTCAACGAAAAACTATCAGATGTGATGTGTCACACAGGGAATTCTGTGAAATTTCCCTTTTGTTTTATTAATTTTTCACCATATATAGTTAGGGAATTTACTATTAACCAGATATCACTCTTTTACCATAGCATTTTTATAGTCTTTTACCATTGAAATTATGTAAACATTTTTCTTTGTGTAAAGGTGGGGTCACATTGGCAAAATTTTCAGCAAAATTTGCATTGTCATTGACTTTCTGTTAGTCAGTGTGGTGAATTCACACAAACAGCTTAAACATGAGCAAAATCTGCATGGGAAACTTTTCTGGATTTCGTCAATCAGTGGTAAATGTGACTGCAACTTCTTCAGTCTTCATATCATTATACAAGAGGAAACGATCCACAAAAAAACATTAACATTAGCTTGTTGTGCATTTACTAGGGCTGTTAGTCAATCAATTGAAATTATCTCATCAGGAGCTCAAAGTACTTCTGCAATAAAATAATACAATAATTTTCCTCAGCACTTAACAAATGTGATCATACATCTGTACAGACCAAAAGGTTACTGGCTGGTGTTTGCATTTCTATGATTGATGGAGTTTAATGTTTTGGTGATATATCAGTTGTTGAGCTTTTATGACAATTAAATTACAAAGAGTAAAAATTACTTTTACTGACGATTTTAATCACACAACAAACTAAAACACACGAATGCCACTTAACGCATTTAAATCACACAATTAACACATTAACTTTGACAGCCCTAGTATTTACCAAATGTAAAGTTCCTATTTTAACTTACCCCATTATACAAGAGAGAACGAATTGAACTATAAAAAGCACATCTGACCAGCCTTCATAATCAAAAGCCTAGGGGGGAAAAAAAAAAAAAAAGACATTTATTGATGCATGGAAGGACACACTAAAAGGAAATAATTGCCTAGAGATCTTTCAATAACACAAACAGAGTAATAACATTAGTTAGCCATTCAATTTTAGCGTTATGGAGCTGTTTGTAAGTGAATTTGTAGGTCAAGGTGTTGCATGGTAAAATGTCACACATAACACAGAGAGGAGTTTCCACTTTTTTTTTCTCATAGGCTATCATAGTGTAGAGAATGTATTCACGCGGCGAGTAAAAAACAACAGATCCACTCAACCAGTCTAAAAAGAGGTGAAGAACTCACCTGAAAGGAATATACCTAACAAATAACTCCATAAGCTACTACATTCACTCTGCTAGTTACGCTGACTGGTATAATGGCGGCTTTGTGCAAGAAACACACAGCCTCCTGTCCTCTCTCCTTCCTGAAGCAGCGCCTGCCAAATAAACTGGGGCCTCCCTGTGAACACACTGAGCTAAATAAAATGAGGCATTCATGGAGCAGGGCCCTGTCATCCTAACCTCCCAAACAACTGAGCCTTGTGCTCACACCGCTTGCTCAAAAAGACCAGGATGTAGCACGCTTACAGAAAATGCAGTTATTTGTATTCAGGCAGGAATAGACGTGCTGAAATTTATGTCATTCAGCTTGCTATGATTCAAGAGAATTTATGACAAGTGTGCAGTCGTTCCAATTGGCTAATTGCGTGTGTTCTCTGGCAATGTGAGCTCACTGCAGCTGAGCAGATGGTGTGTTCGTGGTTGCCAGATCATCTGTGGGTATGAGGTCTTGTTGAGAGATGGACTCTTAGAAATGACTAGAGTCCTGGGGGTTATTTAAGGTCTGGTATGTGAACACAATGTATTATATATATATAAGTGAGCATTACCAAACTATCTGCTGTATGTGTACTTCTATTTTATTTTAACACATTTTTATTAATGAGCCAATATCCATTGCTAGAGAAAACTATATATAAAATTCAAAAATGTTTAAAAATACGTACAATAAAATAATAATAATAAATAAACTTACCTTATCCATATCCCCTGTGACATGTGCTAATAGCAATGTTGGAAAAATCATAAACAAAGCATTGTAATAGAGCAGGCCATACTTTCCCAGCTCCTATAGGACAAAAAAAATAAAATAGAGACAAATTGAGGTACAGTAATGCCCAGTCATAATTCCCTCTTCTCTCGCACCCTCTACACTAGCTGCTCTTTTTCTCACAGAGAAACAGATGGTGTCCAAAGTGAGCCAAAGGTCTTTCTTCAGGAAGTGAGCATACGTTTTAACAGGTTGCAAAATTTTGACTTCCGTATTCAAGTTGTCAGTGCTTTAGATACATCTATATTTCCACATAATCCACGTTCTTCAATGAAAACTGTTAACGGTTATAAAACTACTCTCTCTGGAGGCCTCAAATAGAACACACATGACTTCTTTTTTCAGTCCAAGCCAGTGGGGTAATGCAATAAACACTGCTCATGGGTGCCAGCACTCTCAGTTTCATCAAACACAAGTACAGGCATATCTTCTAAATATACTGAAACTGAACCTGTGCTTGAAATGTTAGAACATGCATATGTGAACAAGTTTTGCTCAGACTGGGTACAGTAAAAATGAAAATGTGAAAGCCCCAAAACCAAAGGTTTCAGTTGTGTTCTGATAGAACTGCGAGTAGGATAGCAAAGTAAATAGACTTATAACTCAGAAAAGCACAGACAAAATGCTACCTAAATCCATTGTCAAATGGTGAACGACAAATTAAACGATGCAAAGGGAAATAACATTTATGTGTGAATTATTTCATGACATTTTCATTAAACAAACAACGTAACTAGCAATTCACAAAACCTGGTGATCCATGAGGAGTTGCTTCATTTTGTGCACGCATAGGAAAGCAGTATATCTCAATTAATGACTACAGAGATCAGCTGCTGCTTAAGAGAGCACTCAATGTATTTGAGTAATCTCTATCATGAATGTGTTGCTTTCCTTACCTTAGAGTCAAGTTTCTGTTTCACAAAAGCTCCATTGGCAGCAGTTAAAACATTGTTCATTAAAATGAACATGTACCCTTGCAGGTCAAAAGCCAAGTCAGCACTGCACAAGAAATATAAGGGCACTCATCAAACACTGTAAAAAACATATGTGATTAAATGTTTGCAAACATGGCTGGAATCTTTTCCTCATTTGCAATAAGATAGTGATGTATAATTAACTTCTATGTTGCAACACAGTCTTACAAACAATAACTTTCCTCTCTAAAGCAGTGAATAATTGGCATGTTCTTCAAACAAAAAGCATCCAAGATAAGGCTGAATTCTATCAAACAATGAGTCACTGGCAACTTTTACCTTGCAGCTACAAAGGCCCCTAGAATCATAGTAAATACTGTCAGCTGAACTGGTCGGGAGAATTTCTTCCTGTAATGAGGGACATAATCAGTGATATATGTATAAGCTATCAGAAACATTACCATAGTAACTGAAAAACTTTCACTTACTTTAACAAGAACACCTCTGCCAGCATTGTAAAGAGAATAGAAAACCTCCTCAACACTGTAAACATTGGCAGGCTGAAGGAAGGAAAAACTAATTAATTAGATACCAATGCATAAAATACAAAATAATAAGGCAGACGTGTGTAAAGCTGTTATGTACTGTATCATACTTAAGTCTTTTTGTCCCAAAGAGTCCTGTTATTTGATTTCCTACATACAGAAGTGGTAGTGGAAATGTCTGCAATTATAAGATAGATAGATATTGAGAAGGCATACAAGAAAGTTGTGAGCAACACTTACAAAGCAGCATTTTTTTTGCAGCCCCACAAGGGTATCTTTTCCCATGCCATGTCAACAAAAAAAGACTTGCACCACTGTTCTAGAATAAACGTGTTCTTGGGGAAAGCACACGTGACAACACGCACAAGTTTAAAGAGCCAGCATTCCTCACCTTTCTAGGTATGCTACCATCAAACTCGGGGAAGGTGATCAACCGGAGGGCCTTTCCCACCCGTAACACAACAACTGTTGCCAGCATCTGCAGAGGAAAGTCATAGTATGTACATGCCGCTCTGCTCTGTAACATAATGTGTAAAGCCCAAAATATGGAGAGTGAGAAAAACTTTTATCTGACGAAAGAAAACCCACCTGACCAATGCCAACACATATCGAAGAGGGGAACCTGTTTGGAAAAGGTTTCTTTTTAGCAAAGACTGAAAGCACAAAGTTTTGTTTACATGTTTCTTTTCATTATCATTACCGTTGATTGCTATTATAAAATGAACCATCATATGCAATGTAGTGTTTATTGTGAGATTTTTAATATTATTATTCTACATCCCTGACTCACTTTAGTCCATACAAAACACATTTTATTTTTACAATTACACTATTTATTTACACAGTTTCAGGCTTCGTACACTTAAAGGAAAAACAAAAAACAAAAGCAAAATCTGGATAATCATCATTTTAAATACTTTAAACCAGGTAGTAGCTCACTACGCGTACAAAAATGGGATGTGGTGGTGGTACAAATTTAAAGAGATGGTGCAAGACGGTAATAACATTATATACCGTTACTGAATGAGCACCAGTTCCATGCACCATTGCACCATTGTGTTAACATGGTACTCCAAAGTACTTAAAGAATACTATAGTATCACAATGGTACATGTGCACTTTTTTTGTTTAAAAAGTCTCACACTGGATGTTCAAATCAGCTCACTGAGACCAACGGCCTTCCGTACCACACTGATAACGTTACTGCTGCAATAATTAAGTTGCCAACTATCCCAAGTATTCTGCATCTAGAGACAGTCAAGCACTCACAAAATACAGAGTATGTAACTCCCGTAAAAAGTCTTCTTACCTGTAATTTGTCAGGACGCTCTTGTTCACTACAACTATAAGGAAAGAGCTGATTCCATAAAAGCCCGCAGCTAAAAGTTTGAAGAGTACCGTCAACGTTTGGTCCGCCATCCCAGCCGCTTCATTCCTTGGCTCACATTGCTTCTTTCTGAACGCAGCGCCTTTCTTCCTCCCCACGTTGACGCCTCGGAACTTCCGCCATGTTTACAGAGCTACGTTATGTGACGACAACATTTCTAATTTACATACGTAAGCGCGGTGCTCTCTGTCGCCACCCTGCGGCAGCCGACTGCAAGAGATTTACTCAGAGCGACGTAACTTTCATACAGGATATTTTTTTTACCTCAAATTCTTAGACTTTTTTTTAATTCAACAGTTTAACATTGTCCATTAGCATATCAAAACAGATTTTATTTTTGCATAAAGTAGCACAAAATGTTTTCAAATAACTGTTATATATATTCAACTAAAATCACACTAATATCAAACTAACATTAACTTTTAGGTACATTGTATTTTAAATAACATATCAAATCCAGTGAAACATGGACCAATGAAATGCACAAGAATCTTCCTGATTGTTTTTATTATTATTATTTTATTATTTTATTTTATCATTTTATTTATTTATTTTTTTTTTCTGTTGTGAAGAACATGCAGTGCTCCCCTGTGGTGTCCCAGCATGCATATGTGCTTTTTTCGGGGTCCTGGAGGGCAAGGGTGCTCTCTGGATGGAAGAGATGGGTGCATGTCTCAGAAAACTGAAGAGTTTGAGTTTTAAAGGGGTCATATGATGCTTTTTTAAAGATCATTATTGTCTTAACTTTGATAAAGAATATCTCTTTGGTTTTGAGACTTTAGTCTTTGCAACTTCAGGGATCTTATCTATGCACAATCAGCTTGTAACACTCCAAAGAGAAAGGAAAACTTGAAATCGCATCACATGACCCCTTTAATTGTACATTCACCTGCGTGCTCGAAAAGTGTGGTGAGCTTTGAGCGAGGTGAGCCATTCCTGTCGCGAGGCTGATGACAAAATGTGCGATCTATTTGAATTTTATTGAGAAATTGACACTTTAAAAAGCTATGGAAAAAGTCGAACATTGTCTAAAAAAGGCACATAAACTAAAAAGACATAAACTAAAAAACTAAAAAAGCTTAAAGAAAACATAATCTTGCACCAGCACTAACATAAAATCTTTTTAAACTACTCATGACCACCTTTAATATAATTTATCACGTTTTATTGTAGGCTTATTTATTGTGGTAGAATTTGTAATAGATAAGGGAATAGATTTTTCCCTATAGATTTGGGTTATATTACAACAAACTGTGGCATGTTGTTTCTAAATGTGCAGGACAGGCTGTTGTTTTTCATAACAAATGGTACAAAAAAGTCATTATTGGCCTGGTAATGAATAGGCTAGCCTTATTATAACAAATGCTACAGTTAAGAACTATGGTATACATTTTCATAAGAGCACGTCAGAATCGACAATCATGTGTAAAATAGGTTCTAATTATGAGTGATGGAAAAACCTGGCCTTCACATATTCCAAGAGATAGCATAGATTAAATCCTTAAGCGCCTGATGAACTGTTAAGGAGTATGAAATAAACAATATCTATATAAGAAAATGTTAAGTTAGATTGACTTCCCATAGCATGTTGAACATGTACAACTATAGCCTGTGCCTAAATAATATAAAATACATTAGGCCTATATATCCTATGTAAACAAATGTAATTGTTAACTAGGCTATTACTTTATTGCAGTTATGTTATCAACCAACTTTGCATGTGTGGATAGCACAAAATACCATTTTACAAAAATAAACATAAGCAAACAAACAAATAAATAAACCTTTTGAGGGAATCTTGACATATTAGTGCAGCCAATCAAATTTGATGACCAGAACTAACTGTTGATCGATATAGCAACATAGCACCTTGGAGGACCACGCCCCCTTTCAGACTCAAAGACCAAAATTATGCATTGCTACATACTTATTATTTTTGGGTTATTATGTTTATAATGCTATTCAGTGTTGGGGAAAGTTACTTTTAAAAGTAATGCATTACAATACTGCGTTACTCCCTAAAAAAGTAACTAATTACGTTACTTCGTTACTTTTTATGGAAAGTAATGCGTTATATTACTTTTGCGTTACTTTCACGTTACTTTTTAAATATGAACAGGGCTTGATTGTTTTTAATATAAGAAGTTCTATTTATAGCAAATGTAAAAGCCCTTTCACACCAAAAAGTGTAATGAATAAACCTCAGGCTGAAGGAAAAGTAAATTCACGTCTGTACAGTAGAACGCAGGAGAAGAAACACTCTTCAGCAATAAAAAAAAAACAATGAAGCACAATTGTTAGTTTATCTAAAGTCATTTTTGCATATTAGTATGGTTGAACTGGATCAGCAAAGGTCAGCAGAAGACATTGGTTAATAAAATGGGATTAGATACATTTGTGTTATTTAACATATTTAATTATTGCAGGTTTGCTGAATTCTGAGTTTGCATTTCACTGTTTTAATTCATTTTGATGAATACTAAATACTCGCGTTACTTGTAATGCGTTACCCCCAACACTGGCTAGTATTAAATTCATTTGATTTAGTTTTGTGTAGTTTGCAAATTAAATAAAAACAAGAATAACAACAACACACACACATAAAAATGGTATTTAATCAATTTTCAATAGTTTCATTATAACTGTGACAACCTAAAATGATTATTAGCCCACATTTTATATCACCAATTAATAAATATAAACAGGTTTCCATTTTCTGGGTATATTAACAGTTCAAAGAAGCAGGTGCTGACTGTTTTTCAAAAAAATTAATTGAGGTCAAAAGACCACATTCTGTGCACACTGGATGTTTTTATGTTACAAAATGAGGACAGATATATGATTAAGTTGCTTTTTTAACTCTTTCTCTTTGATGCTATTTAATGTGATATCTGATCTGATATCTGATAAATCATCCATTTAATAAATAGGTATATGAATCTTTCTCATCACTTCAAATTATCCTAAAGTAGTCTAACAGAGGTTCTTTAAATATAGATGACTCCTGAGATAAAGTCATAGGTCAGCAACTGTCTAATCAAATGCTTTGAAGTGACAAAGGATATGAGTAACCATTGGGAGTGTTTTTGTGATTAACACAAAACAAGTGTGCATATTTTAATATGTCTATTCATGTTCACAAAAGAAAAAGTTATTAAGGTACATTTATTGAGTTTAACATACAGTACAAAATAATGAGATATTTTAATGTCTTTCTTTCTTTCCTCCTTTCTTTATTTATTTAAAACGTGTGGTCTGTCTTTGTGGTTTAGACGTGTCAGTTTCACACAAACTGTAATTGTGGGACTGACACTAACCTCATTGTTTTCTTTTGTTTTGTTCATTTTTCAGTTTCCACACCTTTACGGTAAATAACTTGATCCCACAGTTTATGAAGAGCTTATCATTTTTATTTTTTATTATTATTATTATAAATGCCTCTTCTTATTAATCTACTGTTAGTGCATTCTTTGTATTACTCCTCAGATTCACCTTATCTATGTCAGTTGGTTTTCCCCAGAAACACTTTGAAGATTAAGATGGAAAGTAAGTTTTAAAGAGATCAAAAATCTGGGGCAGGCAGGAAGGCTGTTCTGTGGTGTTGTTTTCACACGCTGAGCACATGTGAGCGGGAACGTGTGAGGAGATCATGGGTAATTCAGTCTGATTTCGTTGTTCCAGAGCCTCACATTTTTAGCTGTCTTTAGTATGTTTAAGTATATTTTTTACTATATATCAACAGAGCTAGTTTGTGTGTAAAATGTATGTTTAATGAGAGGCATTACATCAGGCTTCATGAGGAAGTTTTACTGAATTAATGAGTATTGTTCTCTTCCTCCACTGGTTTTCACATCCTCCTAACATCAAATGTGCCTTATGTCAAGTTGTCAGCCCTGTGGATCAAGCTAGTGAACATCTATATGATGGAAACAGCAGAGGAGCCCAAACTGAGGAGAAATCACTGTTCTAAGTGCAATAGAAAAGGTTTGTTTGGTTTTCACTTTTTCTGCAATGACATGTGCCCTTCTTCTACTGCCATTTGATGTATCATATCTTACTGAAGAACATATTTTTCAGTTTTGGATTTGAATTAACACAATTCTTTAATTCATTACTTTAAAGGTAAAGTTAATGTAACATCAGCATATTTCATTTTATGTATGCTGTTCAGTAGAGTAACTGTTTGAACGCAGTTAATGAACGGTGATGACTAAAAAGGTGGTTTAATAGGTAGGATGCATAACTGCTGAAACACACGCTTCAGAGTTTCAGAGCAGGCATAAATACCACAAATCTAGGTCATTGCCCCTTAAAAGAGCAAGACAACTCTGAGTAAACAAGGTTGACATAAAAAAGAGTAGGCTTGTAACATTACTATCTCTCATGTGAACGTTGACTATTTACACAGATCACAAGCTTATCATGTTCTGTTAACATTCAACCTTGGCGGTTTTTAAATGCCTTTGATATACTCGTGTGCACATATACGTGACCTGTTTTATGTGACATCTTTAAAAAGGAATGGTGATATGGAAGGCAACTCACTTTATGTTCTGACTACATGCTGATTTGCTTCATGCAAATGCATTTGAGAGGACAGGAGAAGAAGCTTAAGGACTAGGCATGACGTGTGGGAAAAAATATTTGACTCAATATTCACTGATCAACATTGAGACCCAGAACAAGAAAGGCATGAAATGGATTTTTTCATCAGAGTCTGGCAGGTGGTCTTTTTTCTCCTTTTCAGCAGCAAATTCTGTGGTGAGTAAAGTCATTGTGACTGCATTTGTTTTACATTTTTTGAATATGTTTCATGATTAAGCTTATAACTGAATAGGGGTTTCTCTCTCTGCTTAGACTGCTACAGAGTCAGTTGTGTTGGAAAGTTGATAGTAGACTCAGATGTCATCCACCTGGGCTCCAACTTAACTGTGGGTTGCCAGTCAAACACTGAGCACTGTGGCAGACACTTTGCCATAGTCTTCAATGGACAGACCATTTTCGAAACAGTTAACTGCTCTGTAATAAAAACACAAATAGTCATCAATCAGCCCAGTTTTTGGCTACTCTGCAAGGTGAAGGAGGGAGACACATGGCACACTGTTTGCGGTCAAGACTTCAAGGCTGGCTGTAAGTTCATATGTTATGTGTTTTCACACGCTCTGCACCATAATATCTCCAATAACTGGCTTATTCAGGTCAAAATATTATTTATTACGACTGAAGCAATCTGACTAAATCCATTTAAATGATTTGAAGGGTTAAATAGCTTAAGGAGCTTAAGAGACACCAGCACATGTATTAATGATCAATAGATCATGTACATGAAATATAAATATATATGAAAATATATGAATGGAAATTCAGTGACATTTGTGACATTCATCAACCATTAATTCCCCATATGTGTCTCCTTTGGTTAAAAATGCTCGTTAGTTGTGAACATTCTGTACAATTAACCAGATTTTGATTACGAATATCCAGCTATGAATTAATTTTCTGCTTTAGACCCTCCAGGTAAACCGAAATTCAGCTGCGTCACATACCAAAATTCAGAGTATGTTAACTGCTCTCTGATGGTCACAACTGAGACATATTTATTTACAAATTTCACAGTGACATTTCAGTAAGTATTTCTTATTCAAATGTTATTATTTTAACAGTTTGATTACATGAAGACGGTATTGTATGCTTAACCATATCAGAATGTAACAGGAAGTAGAAACTTTTCTCAAATATAGAGTTAAAAATCGAAACAATCTTTCTTGTGCTTTATGTTTCTTTAATGTCTTTCTTCCATGCAAAGTGACAGAACTTCCCAGTTCTTCCAGTATGCGATGAAGAAAGATGGTCATGTCTCTATTCCACGATCACTGTTTGTTGAGAACATGACATACAAAGTCCATGTAAGAGGTCACAATGCATTAGGAGAGTCACACTCTACTTTCAACTTCTCAATCTGGGACATTGGTAAGAGACTAAATTACACAAACTTACTCATTTCTGAAGCACTTTCTCATTTTGATCATATCATGATCTCTTGATCTTTTTCTTTCACTCAGTAAAAGTGCTATAGAATATATATTTGACATACCAAATGTGCATAGATTTGTTTAGCCTGAATCATATGTTGATTTTATGACATTGTTTTTGTTCAGTGATTCCAAGCACTCCAGAGATAACACGAGTTGTGTTTGAAAATGGCACTCTTTCTCCTACAATATACTGGAATGGTTCAGAAGATAACCTGAAACCAATTTTGAGGTTCAGAGAAGCACATTATGACCCGGACTGGGTGAGAGTCAAATGCTGATTTCTAATATAAAAAAGTTTATAATTAAATGTTTTTTTTTTAATAATAATAGTTCATAACAGGAATAGTTCATCCAAAAATGAAAATTTGCTGAGAATTCGCTCAACCTCAGGCTATATCCAACATGTAGATGAGTTTGTTTCTTCATAGGAACAGATTTGGAAAAGTTTAACATTACATTACTTGCTCACCAATGGATCCTCTGCAGTAAATGGGTGCCGTCAGAATAAGAGTTCAAACCACTGATAAAATCACAATAATCCACACAACTTCAGTCGATCAGTTAATGTCTTGTGAAGAGAAAAGCTGCATGTTTGTAAGAAACAAATCCATAATTAAGGCATTTTAATTTTAAACCATCGTTTATGGCCAAAATACGAGTCCATAATCCATAATAATGCTGCAGTGAAAAAGTCAATCCTCTCACATCAAAATCTACCGACATATTTGTTTAGAACTGTTTTGGACTGGGTTGGACTTAATCTGTGTATATTTTTCTACAGTACTGATTCAGACAAGACAAGAAAGCAATATTATGGATAGCCAGAAGCGATGGTTTAAAGAAAAAAAATTCATAAAGATGGATTTGTTTCTTACAAACACACAGCTTTTTTCTTCAGATTATGTTAATTGATGGACTGGAGCTGTGTCAATTACTTATGGATTATTGTGATGTTTTTATCAATGATTTGAACTCTTATTCTGATGGCACCCATTCACTGCAGAGGATTCATTGAGCAAGTGATGTAATGCAACATTTCTCCAAATCTGTTCTGATGAGTACATTTTCATTTTTGGGTCAACTATTCCTTTAAAAGCAAGCTATCCATTAGCTGTCTTAGAGATTTTTGCTATCATATTTGATCAGCGCCTGGGAAGTGTGAAGGAGCTCCTAGATGGATGTATTCTGATGCAGGAAGCCTTAGAACCATTGATACTCTATCAGTTTGAGCTGAGAGTGTGCGTTACGTCAACGAACTGCAGCATGTGGAGTCATCCCTTCAATATAACCAGCCCAGGAATAGGTAATTCCTTTATAGTCACATTAGGTTAGTCGATGTGTTTTACCTGCATATTGTTTTGACAATAATTTTGTTTTAATATGTTCTAGCACCCTCACACAAACTTGATGTGTGGAGAGTCATCAACAGGACCAGTACTCATGGACCTCTGAATGTCACAGTGTTGTGGAAGGTAACAGCACCACCTACTGGACAGATAAATTATAAAATGAAATTAGGTTGTTGATTTCAAACAAAGGAAAAACTCTATATAACACAAATTACTGTTTGGGGTTGGTAAGATTTTTTTAAAGTTTATAAATAAATATAAATAATTTAGCACTCAAGCAATATTTCATTTTATTATTATTATCATATAAAAACTTTTTTTGTGTGTGGAAACCATGATACTTTTTTTCTTCTTTAAAGAATAAAAAATTCAAAAGAACAACTTTTTTTTTTTATTGATTTTAAATGTTTTAAATAAAGTAAAAAATAAATTAAAAGTTTTTACTGTCACTTTTGTCCCAATTAAATGCAAAATCTTTCTGACCCCAACCTTTTGAAAGTTACTCATTATACAGCAATGCATTATACTTAAATATCAACCTCCTTTTGAAAATTTCAGCATCTCTATTTGTGCAAAAGAGTTTACATGGTCAATGTCACATATTTTCTTAGTGATTAGTGACTCACAATTCTTACATAATTCTTATTCATTTTAATTTTCTGTGTTGTATTTATTTCAGTAAGTATTTGTTAACCTAGATTTTGAATTCCAGATTGTCACTGTGGTCTCAGACGTTTGAACCCCACTGTATATTTTTAATGAAAAACATGTTATTTACAGATGTATTAGTGTCATTCTCGGAAGTAGCTTTCTATATAAATATACCTATTCTGTGAAGTGATTAAACTACTGAGTCTTTTAGCATTTTCTGACATTACATTACAGCATAAAAGATGACTTAAGCAAGTGCTCACTCATTAAATCTCTATAGGAGAGTCCCATGTACACTGGTGGATGTGTGATCTCTCACAGTTCTTCAACAGGTGTCTTGGTTTAGCAGCCCAAATTAGTTTATTGTCCAGGTGCACTCTAAGTACTTTTTGTCATTAAAAATATCATTATTTATTCACTTTCATGGTGTTCCAAAACCACACTCAGAATCAGTGGTTCCATGAAGAACCTTTAACACCATTGGACAAAAGTTTTTTTTTATTGTGGAAAAAGGTTCTTTAGATTATCAAAATGTCTTAGAAATTAGTGATTTTAAGAACTGATTACTAAATTGTTGTTTGGGGAACCTAAAATGGTTCTTCTATGGCATTGCGTCGAAAACCCCTTTTGGAACCATGATTTTAAAAAGTGCACATGACTTTCTTTCAGTGGAATAAAAAAATTAGATATTAGTCTGTAAACTGTATTCCTGGTATTTTGAAGACATACTTTAGCTTTTTGTGAGGAACAGACAGAAAATTAAACCAGCTTAGTTTTTTTTTTTTTTTAAAGTCATACCCTGATGCAACAAAATATGAAACTGAGTATGAAACAAGCTTCACCGGACTCTTAAATAACCAGCAAACCAGCTGACCAGTTTGGGGTGTGTAAGATTGTTTAAAGTTTCATTCACCGTAGCTGCCTTTATTTGATCAAAAATACAGTAAAAATATTAACTATTGTAAATAACGGTTTTCTATTTTATTATAATTTTAAATGTAATTTATTCCTGTAATGTGAAAGCTGAATATATATATATATATATATATATATATAATCGCAATCAACCACCCCTTTAAGTCATGCCCTGATGCAACAAAATATGAAACTATATATATATATGTAACAATGTAAAAGATTCTGTCACTTTTAATCAATTTAACACATGCTTGCTTAATAAAACTATTTCTTTAAACAACAAAAATCTTACTCACCCAAAACTTTTAAACAGTAGTGTTGTTCTACCAGTTAACTAGATCTTTATGTAGGGCTGTTTTTCTGTTTTGAAAATCCAGTTGAACTTGATCTACAGTCTAAGATGGTTGTTGTTATTTATTGTAGTGTTGAGGTCATATTTTGCTAAAAATACAAAAAATTAGATATTAGTCTGTAAACTGTATTCCTGGTATTTTGAAGACACACTTGAGCTTTTTGTGAGTAACAGACAGAAAATTAAAGGGCTACTCTAACCAAAAATGATCCATTACCGTGAGTCCATAATATGCAAGTAGTCATAGTTGGTGCAAACATGACAGTAATCTGTAAGACTACAGCTGATGAGTCAGTGTTTTCTGAAGCAAACTGATAGTTGTCTGTAAGAAAAATAAAATTATATTTTTCATTTATTTTAACTATAAACCATAATAAGAGAATCTTTGGGTGGACTACACCTTTATTTCTCCATCCCACGCAAGAAGCGAGTTTGTGAACTGGAGCAGTCCAGTTTGAGAATGAATCATTCAGTTCAGTTTGTGAACCACATCAGGCAGCTCATTGAAAGAACTGACTAAACAGAATGATTTATAACGTCACAGGCCTTTGCCCTCAACATGAACCCACTTGTTGACTATTTATTTCTCTTTCTTACAGCACTATAAACCAGAATATTACAGTGGAGATGTGTTATATTACAAGTTATCTTATAAAGAAGAAGGCAAGATCCGTGAACTGAATTGCTCAGCTCATGTCACTCATCAAACTCTTCAGCTGAGCACAGCAGAGGTTAACGTAAGTGCTGTGACAGCAGCTGGTTCCTCCCCACCTGCACCTGTAAGCTTGACATATACAGGTGAGAACCTGTTTATTTATTTATTGAGTTTTGTAGGACTCACAGAAAGTGATAGTATTCATTTATCAGGCATCTACATGAGCTTAGTCTACATGAAAATGTTATATTCTTTGCTGTGTATGTGTGTCACAGGTAAACCAGCCCCCATGATAACACATTTAGTTCCAGCAGCAGGGGGCAGTGTGCTTCTAGCATGGGATGTGTCTCATTACAGTGAGGAGGCGAAGGGCATTCTGGGTTTTGTTGTGCAGTGGCAACAGAGCCCAGTACACATAGAATGGAAGAGATTAGGAAAAGACTATAATATTACATTCCTACAAGGTAAGAGTTTTGCTATTGATCTTAACATCTAAGGGTTAAAATAAAAAAACAGTTAAAAACACAGTCTAATATATTTTGTAGATTAATGTAGTTCACATAATAATGTTCATTATTCAAGTTTCATCATAAAACTTGAAAAATTCTGAATTTGTTCTTGCAGGTATGCGAGCTGGTGTCCTGTATAACATTTCATTATATACTGAAGAAGCCAGTAGAGTTTCAGACCCTGCATTTGTTCAGGTTTATGCAAAGGAAGAGAGTAAATTCATGTTTACTATATTTGCAGTTTTTCTCTCTTGCTTTCATCCTCTGTGTGAGCTTTATGTTGTTGCTTAAATACTGCTATTATTATTATTACTATTACTTACAAAAGCACACCTGTTCTGTTTTGTGTAGAAATTTAGTAGGTGAGATCATTCTTACTTAAATGTAATATTAGTAATAACTTAAAGCTCAATACAGTCATATTTTCAATGTTTTTGAAAGAAGTCTCACCTAGGCATTTATTTTATTTTTTTAACGATACATTTTTTAGGAATTTTTTTTTTGGATGAATAGAAAGTTCTAAATCATAGCATTTATTTGAAATAAAAATATTTTGTAATATTTAAATGTATTTTTTTATGTGTTGATTTAATCCTTGCTGAACAAAAGTATCAATTAAAAAAGTACTGACTCCAAACTTTTGAACTGTAGTATACATAAACATTTCCCATAACTGTTCATGTTTATGTTACACTTCATATAAGTTTGGATGAGGTTTTATCCTAACTTTTCATTTTATAATCCATTCTTATAATACATAACTAAGTTTAATTATATCTGACTCAATTAAGTTATGCATTTGATTAACATTATTACTTTTACTTTACTTTTTACTTTTACTTTTAGTCATTTAGCAGACACTTTTATCCAAAGCGACTTACAAATAAGAAAAAGTAATTAGTAATTAAAGCTAAAACTCTGTAAATACTATATATATACGCATTTAAGAAAATAAAATAAATTAAATAAAAATGACAAATGCATACAACAACATTTCAAAACTAAACATTTAAATGAAAACAAAAAAATAAAGCTAAAAACAATTCAAAATATTAAAAGAACAAAGGTATGAGTATAATAATGATTCTAACATAACACTAAGCCAAACACCAAAAAACAACTACATATGTGTATGTACAGCCACACACATATACATATGCATGTACATATATATATATATATATATTATTTCATTTCCATTTTGTATGTTGAAGTACTGAAATAACTAAAATTAAATAAAACTAAAACGTAATCAAAAACTTATATAGACATAATAAAAAACGAATAAAATGACAACATTACTACAACTGTAACAAAAACTAAAATAGATAACTAATACAAATCTACATTAGTTGATCAGTAATCCTAAAAAAAAATAACACTGAGCCAAACACACATGCTAAAATAACAACAACTTACTGACACATTGTAAGAAATGGTTATAAGAAAACTGAAACAGAAGTGAAACAAGTAGTAGGATATTACAATTACTAATATGTCAAAGATGTTTTAGGCAATGTTTCAGAACATTAGGCTAAACTTTAAAAAACAAACAAACAAAAGAGCAGAAAACGTTACAAGAATCCCTGCTCTCCTTCTAAATTGCCACAAGAGGGCGGTGACAGTGAATTTGTCAAAAGAAGTCAGTTTATGAGTTTATTAAATACAGTAGCATTTAAAAAGGTTAAAGGTTAGTTTTTATTATTTTTTAAACATTTTCCTGCTCAGCGATTGAAGGGTCACTTAATCTCTTAAATCCACTTTTTCAGAGCCTCTAGCTGGTCCAGATGTATCAATTACCAATATAGGGAAAAAACAGATTTTGATCCAATGGGATGAGCTCAGCCAAGAAACACAAAGGGGATTTATCACAAACTACACCATTTACTTCCAGAGACATATTGACGAGAGACTTCTTCAGAACAGTGAGTAAAACAGCTGTGTGAGTGTGTTGTGCTGTGGTTTGTGTCAATGTGGCTGAGGGGAGGAGTCACATGGTTTGTACACATGGAATCAGAACTTTTGTTTGTTCGTTAACGCTGCTCAATCTAAAAAAACAATGTTTTTTTTGTTGTTGTTGTTTTTTTCACAACACCTCTGGTGTCTTTAACCTCACTCCAGAAGTAATGCAGTGCACCTTTGTGCATTTAGCAGAGTGGAAATACTTTACCTGTCTTTGGTTTGAGACTCATCACTGTCACACCCACAGTTTGACAGCAGGGGTTTCCTCCATTTACTGAAAGAGTTCACATCCTTTTCCAGTAACCCCACTCCCCTACACTTCTACACTACTGGTCTAAAACTGATGTTCTGTGTGTTGCTGAACTATGACAGCAAACCATTTAGTGTAAATAAGTTAATGATTTTGTTAGCAACTAACATGGGAACCACTTTTAAAAGGTTTTATGTCTTGTTGCATTAGTGGATTATTTAAAATCCATAACCAATATCCATGCTTATAAATAAATAAATCTATACCAGCAAAAGCCTAAGCTGCTGGTTTTAGCTGGGCTTCCAGCATGGCAAAGCTTGTGTTTAACTGGTTTAACTGAAAAGTGCCCAAAACCCCCTATAAAGCCAACAGACCAGCCAGACCAGGGTGCAGACCAGCTCAAACCAGCTTAGCTTTTTTATTTTTTAAGGGGTGGTTCACTGTTTTTTTTTCTAGGCTTGATTGTGTTTATGGGGTGCAGTCTAACATGTGTTAATGCTTGGTTTTTTTTTTACGCATTATTTTTCACATAATTTACCTTTATTCCACACCGCTCTGTCCCTTCTTTGAGAAAAGCGCTGATCATTTCCTTCTTTTATGAAGCCCCTCCCTCAGAAATAGGCAATGGGCTCTGATTGGTTAGCTAGCCCAGTGCCCCTCACCTCAGCGGCATGTGCTCCGGTTGTATTGTAAACAACGGCGTTGTTAATAGCGCTTATCAGTTTGAGCCCGATTACGCGAGGAACAGTATTGAGAACTGCTGCTTTAGAACATTGATTAGATTAGAATCTAATATAAGAATAATGATTAGAATGGTTAGAAGACAGAATCGCGATTCATATATGAATAGATTTTTACGTGCACCTCTAGTTTTCTCTTCCTCTTCTCTAAAGCAGCGCAGCATGGCCTCTCCCCCTTTGCTGCCTTTTCCCGAGGGCGGGATTTATCTGGGTTTGTTACGTCACGAACCCGAGAAGTAATTTGTTGTAGTCCCTACCAGCCGTTTTTGTAGGCATTAAACTGCCAGAAGAAGATATCTCCGTTTGCATTGAACTTTCAGCTTCGTAATTTTGCAGATATTGTTTATGCTCAAACAGCAACATTACACACTAACGTTAAAAAAGTGAAATCGCAATCAACCACCCCTTTAAGTCATGCCCTGATGCAACAAAATATGAAACTATATATATATATGTAACAATGTAAAAGATTCTGTGACTTTTAATCAATTTAACACATGCTTGCTTAATAAAACTATTTCTTTAAACGAGCATAATAGGACCCCTTTAAACAAAAAAAATCTTACTGACACAAAACTTTTAAACAGTAGTGTAGTTTTACCAGTTAACTAGATTTTTATGTAGGGCTGTTTTTTTCTGTTTTGAAAATGCAGTTGAACTTGATCTACAGTCTAAGATTGTTGTTGTTATTTATTGTAGTGTTGAGGTAATATTTTGCTAAAAAAAAGAAAAAAGAAAAAAAAAGGAAAATAATGTAGAGGTGTTGGAAAAAAGATGTCACTCTCAAAGGGACAGGCCCACATGTCAGATTGAAGTGAAACTGAAAACTATTCACAGATGGGCTTCACATGCTTAAGAGTGTAGCAGGTGACTTTCAATTTCTAACGTTATAAAATACTTGTTGTCACACAAAATTATTAGAGAGTAAACTGCGGTTTATATGTTAGTGGGCGTTCATATGCCCTGTCTGATCCTGCTGGGCGTCAATGTATTCACGTATTCTCTAGAGTCTCACTAGAATCTCTTGAGGGCCTCTGTCTTCTGTGTCATTCTGTGTCTTTAAAGTTACAGCTCCGGCTGGCACGAATGAGACTAAGCAGCTATTCTTAAACATGTGGCTTCAGGGCATGGCAGGAAGTAGAGACAACAGCGGAAAGCAATGTGGCTATGTGCAAATGTTTCTGTCTCCAACATAAGCTACTCCAACCAAGCTGTTAAACAGACATCAGTAACTAAAAAATGTCTGTTATTATCCAGTGGCATAACACTAACAGTGTTGTCAAAAAATGCTGAACAGACAAAAAAAGTACATAACAGCTTTCTGGCAGTGTTAAATATCTCCACCCTGCGGAACAGTTACATGAGCATTTTATGTTTCATTTTTTATACTCTTAGATCTTTGACCCTTAACCATAAAACCTGGTTCAAAGACAAACTGTCAGTCAGCTAACTAGTCATTGCTAAAGTAGAGTGTGAGTGATGCAAATCAATGTTTAATTATGTTCTGCTGGAAGAAACACTCTTCATCTCCTAATGTTCTATGTGTTCTTGCAGAAACTGTGCCTTATGCATTTACTAGACCTTTGAGTTGGGAGTTGCAAGGCCAACAGGAGTGTTTCGATATCCTGGTCTCTGCATGGAATTCTGCCGGTGAAGGGCCCAAAGGAAAGCCTGCCACTTGCTGTTGTCACAGCAAACTATCATACCAAGCTGGTTCAGACAAGACAACAGGTGCCTTTCCTTATGAAACAGATGAAAAAGATCAAAGATCTTTGAAATTAAAGGAGTGCTGAATTACCTATGTATAGAAACTTTGACCTTAAAATCACATTAGTTCGACCACAATCAATTACAAACATGGATATTTCTAGAAAGCTTCTGCAGAAGTTATTATTAAGCGGGGAAGAGTGTTTGGAAGTTCAATATTTGTTAAAAAGATGTGCAGATGTGATGTTGCTATATTAAAAAAATAGAATTCTGTCATCTTAATTTACTCATCCTCATGTTGTTCCAAAACTGTACAACTTTCTTTTGTCTGTGGAACACAAAAGAAGATATTTTGATGACTGTTTTTGTCCATAGAGTGAAATTCATTGAGATCCAAAACAGCACTGGACCACACTGACTTTCACTGTATGAACAAAAAACCCCGAGACATTTTTCAGCATTTTCTTTTTTTTGTGTGTGGGTGTGTGTTCTACTGATGAAAGAAAGTCATACTGTCCCTTTAAGAGAATCAGCATGAGGTTCAGTGCACATTCTGACTACAATATAACTCATTGTGTAGGGTAAGGGTTAGAACTGCATACCGTGCATTCACAAGACACTGAATTATAATCATGCATTATTCATAGAGTGTGCACTTATAAAGTAATTTCAAAGATATTAGGAACAGTTAATGCAGAATTGTTCCAACAATAGCATATCATGTGTTTATCTTAATGTGCTTAATTGTGTTTCTAGGTGGAATGATAGCTGGAATTTGTTTGGCTGCTGCTGTTCCTATGGTGATCCTGGCCAACCTAATGTACCTGAAATGTGTGCGGCAAAGGTGACGTGCTGAACTAGGGGGTTTTGATTTTACTGAGTGTCTTCACTTTCATTTGTGCAAGTAGTTTCACAATGTGTCTCATGTCTGCAGTATTTCATAATGTTAAAGTCACAGTGTGTGTGTGTGTGTAACTGTTATTTTATTTCTCAAAAAAACTCACTTTACAGAATGATGAAAATGTGCATGTCCATTGGAGTCTCTTGGATTTTCGAAAATCTACCGAAATTTGATAACAGCAATGCTATAAAACTACTAAAGGTAATAATGTTTATTTATGCAGGGTAATTTTAGTTAAATGTAACAATCATAATGCAATATTATGAGTTTGGAGGCCTTCTCTAAAACAAATACAACACAAGTAATCTTGTGATGTCAGTTTAGTTAGTAGCTCATAAGGCTGGATGGGGTTACCTTACAATTCAAAGATCAGGCACGTTGTGTTCAAATAGAAGTACTCTATTTTCACTCTTCTAAAGCATACTGAACTTCAGGAGGCCATGGATCCTCAACATAACAGCTAAGTATCTGCTGGCATCAATTGGATTTGAGAAAAGTAGTATTCACAAATCAACTGGACAAGAATACTGACTCGGTATCCTGTTTGGCATGTGGACAGATGGCCTGAAAATGGAACCTTTAAAAAAAATGCAAAACATTTCATATTTTTGAGAACATTTTCCACCAGAAAGAATTTCCCCCACTATGAAGCACAGTAGCAGAAATGTCATGACCTCAGTATCCGTCAACAATTAAAGGAATAAACAGAACTTTGACTATACGAAACTGTAAAATAAGATGTAACACAATAGCAGAGTTATGAAGTGGTTCTCAACCTTTCTGATGCCTTGTCCCATGTTTATGCCTGTTATAAATGGAGATTTGGTTGCTAAATCTATTAGCTGTTGTCAATATATAACTAACTAGTGGCTATGCAGCATGCTTTTAATTGGAACGATGGTTGTAAAAAAAAAATAGTTAAGAAAAGAGTGAAAAAAGCAGACCACACATCCTAAAATTATCACTGACTTGATTTACACAAAAGGCATGTTTGCATTTAAAACATGAGATGCAGAGAAGTGGAATGGGAAAAAAAGAAATGCAGAAATGCCAAAACTGCAAAAACACTGTGGACAGCCCCTAACAATCTTGTAATGCTCAGTATATATTAATATGCATTATAATTATGATACAGTATTGCACCTGTTATTGCAAAAATAATGTTAGAGGTTGACATTGTTTTCATACTGCATATCCATACTTGTTAATACCATTTTTTTTGCTCTCAGGACGACAGCTATGGCCCTTGGGGAGCTCTTCCTGGAGACAGCGATCCTCCCTTAACTCCCATTGAGGAAGTCTGTCTGTCTTTGGAGAGGCAAGACTCTTATCCAACTGTGCTTCATGTCACAGAAATGCCCACGACAGACCTGTTTTGCATTGATTCTCCTTATAAACCTCAGCAATTGACAGCTTCACAGAGAAATGAAGACTTCTCTGAGACTACAGAGGAAGAGCTAAAGGAGGAGGACCAATTCCCTTTGTTGGTGTCTCCATCACATCATGACTTCAGCTGGGATTTAACCTGTATTCCCGTGATACACAGGCGTCTTAATAGCTTCTTAGCTATGGATGGAGCACTGGGATCTTTGGGCATTCTTGAAGACCTCCTCGCTCCCCCTCAGACAGCCTCCAATGAGGACGGAGGAGTGGAAGAGAATGAGAGGATTGTGGAAACAGGAGATGTAAATCAGAGCACTTTCACAAGTCAAACTGTACTACCCAATGACCTGGAGAGCTGCCTCAGAGGGCCTGTCTTTGATTCCAGCCCATACTCCCCACAAGGGCTTTGCCAGAGTTTTTCAGTTCCAGAAGAGGGTTAGGCACTCTTTAGAACACATTTTTAAGAAATATCATGTGGCAAGAGTACTTCTGAACTATATGCGCATGGATGTGATTTAGCCATAAACACAAGCATATACAGGATCTTGTATGGCATCATCTTGTACATAAAGCATTACGTTTTTTTCAATTATTTTACAGTGATGATACTCTATTTTCTCTGTATTGTCTACATATTGTCTGCTATTTTGTGGCTTTAGTCAGATACATCTAAATCACATTGTGGTTTCCGCTCACTCTGCGGATAGTATCTAAAATAAGTACTGTACTGTACTGTATGTTGCTGATCAATTTATTCATAGTAACGTCGTCCTCTTGAATACTGTTTTGATACAAAAGAAAAGATATATGACTGACACACTGCACTTTTTTGTGCTTAATTGTACTGAATGTGCATTTGTAGTGTACTTCAAATATATATATATATATACTTGCATATAATATAATATTAACTAAAAATCCACTTAAATGTGAAGTAACATTATTTATGTGAAAGTGTACTTCACTTAAATGTGAAGTAAGTATATTTGCGATACTAGTCTCACCTAGCGGAATCACAAAAATAAAGCATATTTTTGCACAATGTTTGAAAATTACCTTAAGATTATTCTTATCCTTACAGTATCTTCTGTTATCTGGGGCTTGAAAGTAAAGAGTTAACGTGTTGCAAAAAATTTTTACCTTACCTGTCAAGAAGAATTTCCGTACGTTCAGCATCTCAATGTAGTCAATGAACAATACACTTGGTTAAGAGAATATATTTTGACAAAAAAAAAAACACCTTTGAGTGTACTTAAACACTTTCATGATTATGTTTAACACACTTAAGTACAGTTAAAACAAGTGCAATTAAAAAGTGCATGAAATGACATACTTAAGTGTGTTAAAAAAGCACTCTTATGTTCAACTAATTGCATTAAATATAAATTTAAACTATAATACCATTTCATTTAATTGTAATTAACATGCAATTAAGTGTCCAAAAACATTACATTCATATCACACTTAAGTATATTCTTTTAAAGTACATTATTTCAGTAAAAATATGCTAAAGTGTACTTGTTTTCACAAGGGAAATTCAGATGAAAGTTCATCAGATCAAATATGAATTCTGAAGACAAGTAATTTATTCAACAAAGGTTTGAAAATGTAATAATCTGAGGCAAACAAAAGGATGAGAGACTAATATATGCGTGTGTGTGTGTGTGTGTGCATGAATGTCCCCATAAAACATGGAAATCCAACGTGTGTGTGTGTGTGTATGACATTCTGCTCACACACACATATATATATATATATATATATATATTTATTTATATATATATATGTATATACACACTGGGGGTATAGAAAATAATCACCCTCTTTACAATAATCACATTTTGTTGCATTGCAGCCTGAAATGAAGATGGATTTGATTTATCCTATATTTACTCAATGCAACATAACATCCAAGTGAAAGATATAACACCAACATGTCATAAATAAATAAATTGGAAAAAGGATCAGCCCCTTGTGTTAGTATTTTGTTGAATCACCTTTTGCTTTAATTACAGCCTTTAGTCTGTTGGGATGTGTCTCTAACTTTGCACATTTGCAATATTTGCCCACTCTTCTTTGCAGAACTGCTCAAGTTCAGTTCAATTTGATGGGGACTGTTTGTGGACTGCAGTCTTAAAGTAATTCCACAGATTTTCAATGGGATTTAGTCTGGGCTCTGACTAGGCCATGCAAGGACATTCACCTTTTTCTCCTTTAAACACTGTGTGCTCAGTTTTGCTGTGTGCTTTGGGTCATTGTCATGTTGGAAGGTAAACCTTTTTCCCATTGACAACTTTCTGGCAGAAGGCAGCAGATTTTCCTCAAGAATTTGACGGTATTTAATTGCCCCATCCATTTTTTCCTTCTATCCTGACAAGTGCTCCAGTCCCTGCTACAGAGAAACACCCCCAGAACAAGATGTTACCACCTCCATGCTTTACTAGGGGCGGACTTAGTGATTTGGGGGCCCTAAGCAAATTTCAGGTATGAGGCCCCAACACAATAACTGTGCTCTTTTACGCCTAACCCTTATTTTGCTCGCTCGCTCTCATAGTTTATTTATCCCTTCACAACCAGTAATTAGTCAACCTGATGCTGTTCTAAAGCCATATTATGCTACCGTTTTTTCAGATCATGAAAGAAGATAAAAAAAATGCTTGCACTTGTCTATTTAATAAATTGTAAACTTTTTCAATCTTTTTACAAACATGAAATTATCCCATGCAACTCATTCCATAGTCCAAGAGTTCTGAAGGCATACGGTAGGGTTTGCCGAGAAACAAATAAAAAATGAAAATAAAAAAATAATCTATTATTAAGCAAAAATCTCCAGTCATCGCATTCGTGCATTTATGCGTGTGCGTGGCAGTTCACGCCAGCGCGGCAAAGAAACGCACACAAGAGAGTCATTTTGAGACGTCAAGACAAATACAATTATGAATTGAAACACAATACTTTCTTTACTGAGGTGAATATCTCTGTTCTGAGACAGTCATATACAGCCTAGAATGCGCGCAAAGAGCACTCCCTCTATAATCACTAAAAGCTGTCACTCACTTCAGTTCATTGTGATCTCATAAGCTCTCTACACTGCACAATGAATCTATGTTTTACATTGTATCTACACTTTGTTATAATGGGAGGATTCGAGAGCTTGCAGAACACAGCACTTAACAAAAACTCTGCATTTTTGGCGGTGAGTGGATTCTAACTTATACACTTCTGGTCATTGCGTTCAAGAAATCAACAGATATGTCTGTGATTGGCTACATTGCTCAATGATGCAAATATGTTTTGAGACAGTCATACAGTAATATACAGCCTAGAAAGAATGCGCACAAAGTGTGCTCCCTCATATAATCACTAAAAGCTGTTACGCACTTCAGTTAATTGTGATCTTACGAAATTCCGTTAAATCTCTTATTTACATCGTATCTACACTTTGTTATAATGAGAGGATCCGCGAGCTTGCAGAACTCAGCAAACTCTACATTTTGAGCGGTTAGTGGATTCTAACTTAAACACTTCTGGTCATTGTGTTCAAGAAATTAACAGATATGTCTGTGATTGGCTACATTGTTCAACGTTGCAAATATGTTTCTGCGATATCAGATGGGGCCCCCTGATTCCCTGGGGCCCTAAGCGGCCGCTTACCTTGCTTATTGGTTAAGTCCACCCCAGACTGTAGGAATGGTGTTATTTGGATGGTATTGGATTTCAGCCAGACAGCCTATGGTTTGGTGTTCAATTTTAATTCAATAATTGAATAATTAAATTGTAGTCTCATCTGCCTCAGAATCTTCAAGGTGCGTTTTAGCAAAGCTCAGTCTTACTGCATGTGGCCTTTCTTGAGAAGTGGCTTTTTTCTTGCAACCCTCTCATACAAGCCACATTTGTGGATAATTTGTGATATTGTCACATGCACACAATGACCACTCTGTCATAAATTCCTGCAGTTGCTTCAGAGTTGCTGTAGGCCTCTTGGTAGCCTCTCTGAGCAGTTTCCTCCTGGCTCTTTCATCCAGTTTGGAGTGACGTCCTGATCCAGGGAGGGTCTGCGTTGTACCAAATACCTTCTACTTCTTAATAATAGACTTCACTGTGCTTCTAGGCATTGATAAAGCCTTTGAATTTTTTTTGCATCCATCTCCTGACTTGTGCCTGTCCACAACTTTATCCCAGAGATCTTTTGACAGTGCCTTGCCACCCATAGTTTAGCTCTTTTCATGCTGAGCTAATAAAAATGATACAGCTGATCACAGTTGAAAGTCAAATGGCTTTGCGTGCCATTTAGAAGGTGATTAGATACATCTGATTGAGTTTACAAGTCATTTTTAGGAGGGGGGGTGATTCTTTTTCCAACTCAGTGATTCTAGTTTTTTTTTTCTTTTTTTTTTTCTGATATGTTGGTGTTATATCTTTCACTTGGATGTTATAAGTTGCACTGAATAAATTGAATAAATTAAAACAAAAACTGTGTCCGCCCATGCCCACTGTTTAATATATGTGTGTGTGTGTGTTTGTGACATTCAGCTCATGCTCACAAAGGACGAATGTATGCTGGCCCAATAAATATAGATTGTAGGAGAAAAGTAATCAATAAAATAAATTAAAAAAAAGGAACTAATAAATTTCTTGTACCACAACTGCAGGTGTTTCAAAGCTCAGTGAACAGGAAGCACACCTTTATATTTCAGTGCTAGTTTACAGGAATGGTGGTAGGTTTCAAGTGTATATACATTCTAGAGGTATGATTTTCTTGTTTAAAATATACAAATCACTTTACAAATCGCTTTATGAATGTTTTAACCAATCAATGAATAAAATCTGGTGTATATACATTCTTGCAGTGGGAATATAACTGCTTATAATCTTTGACACAGTGAGATGGTGGATAGAACATATTAAAAACCTGCAAAGCTGCGTTTGCCACGCTGCATTTGACATGTATAACCTTGTTAACCTGACATGTTTATACCATTAGCCAGTGAGTCTCAAGTTGTTCATTTTGGTTCTCAGTTACACACCATCCTGCAGAGACACCTGCACCGCAAAGCTGTTTTTAAAACTTCCTGAGAAAGTACACATGTCACCCTTAAAAATACAGTTCAACATCTCACACGTGAGGAGATGTCATCAACTCATTCGTAGCACTTCTCCGCACAAACATGCCACTCTATTATTGTGATACTGAACAACACCTTTCGAGATGATGCACAGGAACTTTAAGGGTGGGTGGGCAGTCTGACCTTACAAAAGCACCTATTTTGCCCCTTTATGATTATGATAATGCATGTAACGTGAAATAAGCTGCCATATGTTGCACTTGAGAGCAGAGAAAATGCTTTAGAGAAAACATGCAACAACAGCTTGAGAAAGGCTTTTTTCGTTTTTTCAGCCTCTTCAACCTTTAGATTTGGAATAAATATTCTTCATGTTCTATTGTAATTAACTAGTGTTTTGTATGGGGTCCCAGGGTCCCAGGGACATTGAGGGATAACCACTGAGGTATATATATAGTTTATTGTTCTCCCTGATATATTATTGCATTGATGAAACGGTTGTTTGTACATTGCTTTAGATTTTCTGTTCATTTAAATTTTAAAATATCATTAGTTATTGGTGTGCGAATGGTTGTTGTTTGTTTTTTGGGTGGTCTGTTGATCAAGTCCGTTTATTTTGGACTGCAGGACTTTTTATTTTATGTGTCACGAATCATTCCTGTTATACATTTTTGTTCCCATCATTAGGCTAATTGGGTAAAATATTAAACATGCCATTTTTAAACATGTAAATCCATCCATCCATTTGACTAGTGTTCTTGTTGGCATGAAAACTGACAATTTATTAATAAACATTCTAGGGTTTTATTCACTTTTTTCCCTGTAATTGAAATGTTTCATAAATATTTTCATCATGTTAATCAATCTTTTAATATTTTTCAATTAGTTTTCAATTCTATTAGGTTCAATGCTGTTAATGAGTAAATAATCAAGTTATAATTAACAAAGTTTAAGTGCATAGCCTTACTAGAGCATATTTCTTTTAAAAATATTCTCACCTTTTCAAACAAAATGCAATTCATGACTGTATGATGACCGTTATGATTACTGTGTCATCTGTACTTCACAATACAGACACGAACAAAAACATTCCTGACTAACAGTATCCTACAGTATAGAGTGCAGAGGTTACTGATGTCACGGGCAATCGTTACTCATTCGAGTTGAAGCAAATCAAATAAGACGTCGCGCGCTCTCAGGTCTTCAACAGGATAGCGGGAGGAGATGCGCTTGACGGCTCTACTGCCACATTAAAACTCACAATCAGCACCAATGGCCAAACCGAACAGTTCTGTCCCATGGGCAGGGGTAAGTATATAACTATGTTATATACCACCAAATCTTGAAAAGTGTTAAAAGTGTTATCTTAACCGATGAACCGTTCTGGTCTTCAACTCTCAAAATTACGCGACATTGACGCGACGTGACAAACGCTCTGCTATTGTAATATAATACATGTATAATGCTGAACTATATAGCTTCGTTTGTTGTAGAACACGTTCTTTTCCACCTGTCTAAATGATAAAAGAGTGACTTGAATTTCTCAATAAGGAAGTAAAATGGGAAGGTAACGCTTAAAATCTCATGAATGGTTGTTCACAGAGGGTCTTGTGAGTTTGTGTGATCTTCAGCACTGAGCTCGATGTCTTCTGAATGTACGTGGTCGGTCCTTGTAATGTTGTGCTTCATCCTGGCTACAGGTGCACATGGAGGTATGACATAATTATTTGCAATTTACGGGATTTTCTTTAGATTCGGGCGATTTCATGGGCCACGGGGTTGACTTGTATTCCAACAAACCACGTTTTCCCATTATCTGAAGTTCTTGGAAACTGTATCATGGCTTCAACGTTTATTCTTGCTACTTCTAAAAAAGCATGAAAATACAATTTTGTTAATATTATTTATCGCTAGCTATAAAATTAGGCTCAACGAGATTAAGGCCTTTTACTGAAAAAAAAAAACTAAAGTCATCTGGATCATTCTCATTTCTAGCATATAATGCTATTAAAGTTATTAAAATTATATACTTCTAAAAAAGCATGAAAATAAAATTTTGTTAATATTATTTATCGCTAGCTATAAAATTAGGCTCAGCGAGATTAAGGCCTTTTATTGAAAAAAAAAATCTAAAATCATCTGGATCATTCTCATTTCTAGCATAGAATGTTATTAAAGTTATTAAAATGATATACTTCTAAAAAAGCATGAAAATACATTTTTGTTAATATTATTTATCGCTAGCTATAAAATTAGGCTCAGCGAGATTAAGGCCTTTTATTGAAAAAAAAAAATCTAAAATCATCTGGATCATTCTCATTTCTAGCATAGAATGTTATTAAAGTTATTAAAATTATATACTTCTAAAAAAGCATGAAAATTAAATTTTGTTAATATTATTTATCGCTAGCTATAAAATTAGGCTCAACGAGATTAAGGCCTTTTATTGAAAAAAAAAAAATAATCTAAAGTCATCTGGATCATTCTCATTTCTAGCATAGAATGTTATTAAGAAAAAAAGTGCATTGTTTGATGTTGTGGTGGAAATGACACTGTGCCTTGACACCATGACTTTTAAAAGAAATTGCAGACTATTAAAATAAATGACAAAGAGAGTCCTTAAGACCAAATCTGATGTCTAAAGTTAAAGAAACACAAATACATGAGATTTTATTTGGTCTAAATATCAAAACATATTATTTAGAACAGCGTCATCAATGAGAATGTGATGTATTGAGAATGTGGAATTGAAATTAGACATGCTAAATTTGTATGGAACATTTGGCTTCTGCATTCAAATTTGTATTTGAATTTATCATAGTTTTAATTTAGTTATTATACAAAACTCTATTAAAAACTTAAGGATGTGAACACATAATTAGAATTGTGGTGGACAAAATGTAATAATTTAAGAATTAACCATTAATAAGCACATAATGATTGACTATTGTGAATAATGGGGGAGTACAGAGGAATGTTTATGATGGTTACGACCCTGGTGCAAATATCCTGCGCTATCCTGTGATAACATTTTTTGTTGCTTCCTCTGTGTTTATGCTTTTTGCAGGAGCTGTGTGCACTGTAAGATCAAGCAAAGGTGAAGAAGTCCTCTTAGGATCCAACTTCACCTTCTCCTGCATCTTTAACAAGCAATGCACCAAACTCATTTTTCGGAATGGGACGCAAATTAAATATAAAAAAAAAACCAAACGAATTTTTCGGAATGGGACGCAAATTAAATATAAAAAAAAAAACATTTCAAGTGACGTGTCTGTGGACATTGAGAATATAACAGAGTTTAGCACTTTCAGCTGCAGGTGTGAGGAGAACCCGGAACCATGTGGACTTGACATAAAACCAGGATGTAAGCTTGTAACTTTCTGTAACATGTCTTTATTTCAAGTTATTCTCAGTTCTGCAGTCAGCTAAAATGCAGTCTTTATATAATGATTTTATCCTAATCTTAAATAATTGGAAAAGTCTTGGAGGTTCACTGGTCAAGAGGTGTGGTAACCCTGTCTTATATCGTGCCACATTATTCAACTTTGCTAGAAATATGTCTTTTAGAGATGCAAAATAAAGACAGCTACTCTTAGTAACAAATTATGTGCAGAGAAATAAAAAATGCTTGTAAAGGGTTGAAACTAATTACTGAAACAAAATTAGTGGGAAACGTTGACAAGTATGATTTGTTCCACCCTTTGGCAAGAGTGGAGACTTTGAAACTTTGAAGTGAAATTTCATGCATGACACAGTCATGTGCTTCTTTTTCAGACCCTCCAGACATTCCACAAAATCTCACCTGTGTTCAAAAAATGAATTCTCACAATGTCAGTTGCATTTGGACAACAGGAAGAGGTACCATAATCGACACCACATGTCAGTTACGGTTAGTAAAAAGAATCAAATCAGCTTTGATTTTACAGATCATATTATACAACCCAAAGCAGAGACACAAGTAAAAGTCTCATTAATTATTTGATGTTACTTGATGTTTTCCCTGTGCTTTTTCAGGGTTCATGGTGACCTTGGCTATGAGAGTATTATGAACTCTACAGGATTTTGTCACTCCACCTTCCCCATCAAAAGCTCAATAATGTCACAGCTCGTCGTGTTACTCAATGTCTCTAATACCCTGGGCTCAAAAACCTCAGGCCCCCACACCATCAACCTCATAAATATAGGTAAAGAAATTCCCAAACTCATAATTTCAAACAACAAAAAGAGTGAAACCATTCAGTTGAATTCACTGTTTAGGATTAGTTATGTTTAATATGGATGATGGAATTGATTAACTTTTGACAATTCTCCAAAGTCTTTTTACTGCACCCTGCATTTGTTGAATCCTTAAAAAAAAAAATAGAAGTTTTTCTGTTCACACCAAAAGTAGAAATGCTGCATCATGCATGATGCATGAGATTTTTGTTTGCTACTTGTAAAATACTAAAGCAGTGGATCTCAACCATTTTATTCAAATGCCATTCTCAGCCTTATTATTTACAATACAATATTAATCAGTATTAATATTTACAATATTAAAATGTGCAGATATTTTAAAATATTTTATTCATAATTTCTCATAATTTCTACATGCTTAAATATTTTAGAGCTTGGCATAACTAAAAAATTATATTCAGTTTTTATGATTTTACTCATTTTTACCTGACTTTCTAGGTCTGGAGATATCACACTTTTAAAATGAGGCTCCCTCATATATCCAGGTTTTCTAATACCATGGAAATCCTGGTTCTTCACAAACAAAAAAACTTTACTTAATTAGTTTAGGTTTTTAGTTGTTTTAGATTATTTGCTTGCTTGTTTTGTTTTATTAAAAAAATTAACTCGTCTAGAGAGCCACTGCATTAAAACTAGAACCTTAGTCTGTCCATGTCGTAGAAAGAAAAAAAAACTAAGAACAGACGAATTGCTGGCTATTTATGATGACACAAATGATCCACATTGAAGATGTATATAGCTTTTATTGCTTTTTATTTTTTGTGCCTGGTTAGCAAGAAGTGTTGTGGGTTGGGGGATTCCAAAGAATACAAATTGGGTCCGTTTTATAGAATTGTTTGTTTTTACACCAACCCAGTAGTTGACTTTAATATTAAAGATGACTGCAGCAAAAGATCTTATCTTGATATCTAAAACCAAAAAGAATTGGACTGCATTTCAGCTGTAGAGTAATGTGGACTGAAAATTATGTAGTGCTTCTCTGTTTATTTACAGTAAAACCCTCAATGCCTGAAATCGTTAACGTGAGCTGCTCCTCCCGATGGTGCAACCTACACACAGACAATCACAGCATGAGCTTGGTTGAAATCCAGTACAGTCCTGTAAATGGGATATGGGACACCTTCCAGGTAAAGCTTCTGATTCTAAAATGTGGTTTAATTGTTCAATATCTTCAGTTAGAATCAGACTGAAGTGGTATTCAGAGTCAAAGCCACTTATTTGTACCTGCAGACCTATCTGTCATCTATCTTGGTAAAGCTGATAAATAAAAATGCAGAGTTGCAAAGTCGAGTCGATTCATGATGACAAACAAAACCCACAAAACCTCACAGATTAGTCTGGTCGTCAAACCACAAGCCCTCCATGATGACTCAAAACTGGAATAAGACATGTCAAGAAAGGGGGTTTTCTCAATCCTTATCGTTAGGAAACTGAATCGCTGACTGTTGCTCATCCCACAACATATGTCTTGATGTCTCTTTATCAATGAAATGATTTCAGTAACTATTCCATACAGTATAGGACAGCCAGCTTTGCAGGAATACAAAACATTTTCATTATAATGAAGAAATATGTTTGGAGATCCAGAGATGGTCTCATTGACTCTAAACCTAAAGATGCTTTCCATTGGTGAAAGTCAGTCGTGTGCTTAAAGGGATGGTTCAACCAAAATGAATGTTTGTCATTTATTCACCCTCATTTCCTTGGAACACAAACGGGGAAATTCTGAATGCCGTTTGGCATCAGTGACATAAAACAGTGTGTGATTCATTTGTAGATGTTATGTTGTATTTAACTGTGAATGAAGATATATAATGAACAGCAAATAAATGGTGTTCTTTTAAACTTTTGATTCATCAAAGGATTCTGAAAAATGTATCACAGTTTCTATAAAAATATTAAGCTGCACAACTGTTTTTAAACTTTAAAACTCCATCTACTTTTGTTTTATGGAAAGCAGATGCTAACATTTTTTAAAAGAAGCATTTAAAAAGAAGCATTCAAACATTCTTGACAGACATTTTAACAGTAAACCAGAGAAATCTTCATATTTAAAGGGGTCATATGATGCGATTTCAATTTTTCCTTTCTCTTTGGAGTGTCACATCTGGTGAGATAACAACTCATTTTATTATGTTGTCTCCGCAGACTAATGTTAAGAGCAGACTGAACATATCCTCATTGCATCCGGATACCACGTACAATTTCCAGATCAGGAGGAAAATAAACCATACAGTGGGTCTGTGGAGTGACTGGAGTCAACCAGAGCAAAAAAAAACTAAAGAAGAAGGCAAGTTACGAAATATATTGGCTTACTTGTAAGGAACTTCATTAAGTCACATTTTGTAATTATAGAGTTTTGAAGGCAGTTTAGTTTGTGTAGTTATTTTGAGCTGCTTATTTTTTCTATCTTATTTAAAGTCATCAGAAAGCGTAAGGGATCAAATGAATGTAGGTTGTTACGTGTGTTCTGGAAAGAGCGCTTCAGAAGTACGATGGTGTTAGATAAGTTGACTGTACTGACGTGGGATAGTCACTACTTTGTCAGCATTTCTCAGGTGCTTGAGATAATGGGGCAAAACTAGCTAAAGCAAACTTGAGTGGTGACCGATTAAATAAACGTTTTAGTGTTACTTGACTTAGTTGAGAAGTGATTACAGAGAAGACTTTTAAATTTGACGGGACTCCACTGACTTTTGGTTTAACTTAAAAAAAAAAAAACTTGTGGAGATTATTTTAGAGAAATACACCCCACAATATATTGATTATCAACAATTTACTCAAATAGCATCCCAAGTGAAAGAAAAATAGCATGACTGATTGTAACGGAACTGTTTTTATTCTTCTCTCTCTCTTTAGCTCCTGATAAGGCGCTTGATGTCTGGTACCTCCAAGAACTGAAACCCCCACAATCTAAAAGCAAGTGTTTGCGCATATTTTGGAAGGCACGTAACCCTTCACCAAACTATTTTCTATTAATGTTTTATTTAGCGGTATACATGCTACGGACAGGTCGCCACATGATTCCCTCCCCCTGTACTTTTCTCACAGGCCCTTAAAGGTCAAACCACCACTAAGCAATGGAATGCTTGTGTGAATTGCATCTTCCCAAACACACTGTTAGTCTGAAACCAAAAGTTAGTCGACAGTCAGTTTCAGTTTACAAAAACTGAGTAGGGGCTTAGAGGAAATGATGGATTTGAGAATTCTCTCTTTTAGAGTCATGTTTGTGCCTCATGTCAGTCATTAATGGCTGACTCTATCAGAGGTCAGATGTATGCATTCAGACAAACTGAACTGCATAATAAAGATTGCCTTAATATTCATGTTTATTATGTTTTAGGAACTGAATATATCAGATGCCAAGGGGAAAATTCAGAGGTATAATATAAGTGTCCAGGAGCAAAAGGGAAAGAGGAACTCTATCACTGCAGTTCCACCCAGCAGAAATCAGAGCATATGCTGCTCTAATTGTTCTGTGTCAGTGTCTGCAGTTAACTCAGAGGGTCAATCTCCTGTCAAAATTATTCAGCTGCGTTTTCCAGGTAAGCCTTTGGTTTTTGAAGTTTTTGCAATGCTGAGCCAAATAACTGTGGTTAAGTCCAGTTTTAAAATAATAAAAATATGCTAAATGCATGTGGTCAATATAGCAAAGTTAAGCTGTGCTTATTGTTCACAGGTCTGGTTACAGGTTTACTGTCACACAGGCCATTGAATAATCATAGCATTGCCCTCTTCTGGCCCAAGCTTGACATTGCAGGCACTGAGTATGTGGTGCATTGGTATCCAGTTGGAAACATAGAGGGGATTCAGTGGATTAGAGTGGTGGATACCACAGCTCACATTACAGGCAAGTTTAATTGGATGGTATGCGTTAAGACCAGTCAAAATTAGTTGGTTGGTTCCAGACTGTAATAAAATTAGTTTCTCTCCTTCTTGTACCTTTTATTCTGTTGTCTGTCCAGGTATGCAACCTCAAGAATGCTATCAGTGTGCAGTTACCGCTCTGCGATCATCTGGTCCCAAAATGGCAACCATTAAAGGCATCTCCTCATGGCAATCAGGTTAATTCCTAATGCTCATTCTGTATAAATCTTCATCGAAGTGGATTAAATCAGTATACACTAAGTTCAATACACATTCAAAAGTTTAATAAATAAATCTTACCGACTCCAAACTTTTGAATGTGTATTGAAATGTGTATGTGTATACTGCATTTTGAATGTGTGTGTGTGTATATATATGTATATATATATATATACTGTATGTATATATATAAATATGTGACCCTGGACCACAAAACCAGTCATAAGGGTCAATTTTTCGAAATTGAGATGTATACATCATCTGAAAGCTGAATAAATAAGCTTTCCATTAATGTATGGTTTGTTAGGACAGGACAGTATTTGGCCGAGATACAACTATTTGAAAATCTGAAATCTGAGGGAGCAAAAAAATCTAAATATTGAGAAAATCGCCTTTAAAGTTGTCCAAATGAAGTTCTTAGCAATGCATATTACTAATCAAAAATTAAGATTTAACATATTTACGGTATAGGAAATTTACAAAATATCTTCATGGAACATGATCTTTACTTAATATCCTAATGATTTTTTGGCATAAAAAAACAAATCAATAATTTTGACCCAATACAATGTATTTTTGGCTATTGCTACAAATATACCCCAGCGACTTAAGACTGGTTTTGTGGTCCAGGGTCACATATACATACACTAAGTTCAATACACATTCAAAAGTTTGGAGTCAGTAAGATTTTTTTTTTTTAAGAAAATGAATAATTTTATGCAACTAGGATACATTAAATTGATCAAAAGTGACAGTAAAGACATTTTTTATTATTAAAAGCTGTTCTTTTGAACTTTTTTTTTTCCAGCAATGGATCCTGAAAAAATAATGGTTACCACAAAAATATTTAACAGATATATGTTCAACTGTCACGATCTTTAGCTGGAGTGCCCATAAGCTCCACTAGAGGGCACTCCATCCTGTACCTTTGCCATTCACCCCAGACTGTTGTCACTCCCTTCCCCATAATCCTTTGCCTGGACTTATTATCTCTGATTGCATTCACATGTGACTTATCTCATCAGTCACACACTATAAAAGATGCACACACACTCAAACAGATCGCTGTTGATTGTTAGCCTGTTATGTTTTCTAGTTTATGCCTTGCCTTGCCTTGGTGTTTTGTTCTTGGACTGTTTACCTGGTTTGTGATCGTTTGCTGCCTGCCCCAGCCTTTGCCTGTTCTGTGGATTACGCTTTTGGATTACCTTGGATGTACTGTTTCAAACAGATTGCTGTTGATTGTTAGCCTGTTATGTTTTCTAGTTTATGCCTTGCCTTGCCTTGGTGTTTTGTTCTTGGACTGTTTACCTGGTTTGTGATCGTTTGCTGCCTGCCCCAGCCTTTGCCTGTTCTGTGGATTACGCTTTTGGATTACCTTGGATGTACTGTTTTTTGCTGGTGTTTTGACCCTGCCTGTCTGACTATGCTCTTAATAAAAGCTGCAGATGGATCCTCAACTCTGTTGTAGTGATGCAAAGTCCGATTCATTTCCACGAACCGGCTCTTTTCGGACAGATCGGCTCATTGAACCAGTTCAAAAAGCCGATTCATCGGTTCCTGACGTCATCAAGCAATAATGTCTCTACGCATTTCTTTTCTAGCAACTCAGTGCCATGTTGTATCAATGAAAAATTCAAATAAGTCATTTGTGTCAAGGCATATTGAAAGATTCAAATATAAAGTTATTTGTGTGAAAGCATATTGCTGATTATTGCCATATAATTCACTTAAGTTAATGGTGTTTGTGGTCACAGTTTCATTCGCGGATCCTTTGTCAGATACGACTGACTGACCAATATTGACTAGCCTACAACTTGGATAAGATTCCTAAAAGTTTCAAACATTACAGACACTGATGCACAAACGCGGATATGTTCTACATGTCTACAGTATAAAGAATCACTAAACCAGTCTTAAACTCCTTGATTTCGCTTAAGCAACTTTAAATATAATATGCATGCACAAACTATTGTAAAAATGTATTTACATCACTCGACGGAAAGGTTTTAGCAGGTTTTAATAAAATGTAAATTAATAACAGTCATAATAAGCATATTTCCAGTACGCGCCTCAGGCTTGTACAGTGTCGTCAACTCACTCATCAGAATCTTTGGTAATCCTCGGCAAACTTCGCCACGGCTCATTCAGTTCTTGTTGAGTCCACGGTAATCCTCAGCAAACTTCGACAGGTGGTTGAACCGGCTCATTCAGTTCTTTTAGAGTTGGATGTGCTACTTCGGCTGTGCGTCCTGCGTCATCAACCCGAAACTAAAGTTCGATTTAGTTCGATTTGTGAACCAGCTCAACTGGTTACTTCCTGAGAACCGGCTCAAAAGAACGATTCGTTCAAGAACCAAACATCACTACTCTGTTGTCACGCCTCCGTCGTTACATCAACATTGACAATAATTAAAAGTGTTTCTTGAGCACAAAATCAGCATATTAGAATGCTTTCTGAAGGGTCATGTGACACTAAAGACTGGAGTAATGGCTGCTGAAAATTCAGCTTTTCCATCACAGGAATAACTTGCATTTTAAAATGTATTAAGATATAAAACAGAAATATGTATATAAATATAACACAAATATTACTATTTTGACTGTAATTAAAATAAATGTAGCCCTGGTGAGAATATACATAAAAATGCATGACTCTCCTTATCATAATCACTGTTTCATCTTTGAATTCACAGCTCCTGAACAGGGTCCAGTTCCTCAACTTGGCTGGAAGGAGAGCGAGAGCTTGAGCGTGACCTGGTCCGAAATCCCTCAAAAGAAGATTAGAGGCTGTTTGAAAAAATACACTGTGTACTTGATAGACAAGTTGAAGGGAGATATTCACAATTTCAGTAAGGCTTATCTTATTTTAATGGAGTTCAACAAGCATTAATTGGGGATAAATGTTAAAATGTATAACATTGATACAATATTTACTGTTGGCTGCCAAGATTTCTTTTATTAAGCAACACAAAAAGACTGCTTGCTTGGGATGTTCATCAATAACAGTGCTAAATCAACTGAGATATTACTTTTCTGATGTGGGGCTACACTTTGGCTGCAGGTGTAGTCCATCCAAAGAGACAGTATGTCATCAGTGGTCTGTCACCAAGACAGTGCTACAATCTGTGGGTCACTGCCTGGACTGATGCAGGGGAGGGACCCAGAGGAAGTGATCTCCCATTCTGCACACCATCAGACTGTATGTACTTATGTAGATATAATAATCATATAATGGGTTTAAATCCAAATATTTGGCATTTTTTGTGAAAAAAAATGTTTGTCACCCATTTGGTAAGAGTGACCTATGTCATCCTCTTTCAGCTGAGAGAATGCTGTCCCTCGTGATCCTGGCTGGTGGAGGAGTACTTTTGGCCTGTCTAATCCTCCTGTGCATCTGTCAGTTCTCCTCTGTACACAAAAGGTAAGAATCAGCAGAATGCCTTGAATTCTACAGAAAAAAGGCTGTTTTTGTGATTTTAAACACTGCCATGTCTGTTCTGCTTGATAGATTCTTATGCTGTTGCCAGTGTCTGCTGCCTATTATTCCAGATCCAGCAAACAGCAAATGTGCAAAGACGTACGCTGATGACCAGGTAAATGTATGGAAATGCCCATGCAGGCTGTGTTTTCAAAACAAGTAAGCTACCTAACTGCATTTATGGGCATTATAGGCAGGCTTTAGCATCTAGGTTAAAGGGATAGTTCACTCAAAAATGAAAATTCATCAAAATGATATCATCATTTACTCATCCAGTAAGACTTTCTTCTGTGGAACACGAGGACAGTAGAAAAATGAAAATATTTCCCTCAAACCGCAGCTTTAAAATCTCATTCATGTGTATTCAGCAGTTAGTTCTAGAGCTTGAATTTGATTGGCTGAGTGTTGTTGCAAGAGTTTTGGGGCCAGTTGCATAAACCTCCTAGACTAGTCTTACAAGTTTGTCATCTAAGTTTTTTGTCTGTAAGACTGGTTATCATTTTAAGTTAGTTACATAAAAATGTCTAATTTGAGAACAAAATGTAATTACTTCTTAAATGTATTACCCCTTGGCTAATTGCTAGTTGGTAAGATTAGTTTTTAAGACATATTCTTCAGGGTTGGTCACACTAGACTACAATAAATTTCTTCGGACACTTGTCTTTTTAAAAAATATAAATTCAACAAATAATAATAAATAAATAAAAAAATACACTCTCATCCACTTTCCTGCAATGCCACAAACCTGCAGTTTTAAAGCTTATTTTTTTAAGAGGTCACGCTATGATGTCTACTGGTCACACATAAATACTAATTTGCAAGTCACCCAACCTGTACTTTGGAATGCTTTGAAATGCAAAACTTTGCATAAACTTGTGTCTCCAGAATTCTCATACATATGAATGGAAGTGAATGGCACGAAAAGTGTAGTGTGACCGACCGAAAAGCTTAACATAATGCCTGTGTTTATGCAACTGGCCCCTGATATACAGTACAATAGCACAGGGACTTTTCATTCTTTGTATGAGCCCACTGGCTTGCAGAGTTGGGTAGTAACTTGTTTACATGTAATCTGGATTCATAATTAACACATTTGCATGCTCACAGTTATCTGACCTTGATCAACGCTAAACATGACATGCTGGTAAACAAATTAAATATTTCTTTTTTTTTTGGTGTTTTATTTTGATTCATGTTATTTTAAAATGATTTATTTTAGTTTTACATTTTTATGATTTAATTAATTATTAGCTTTTCCTTAAACTCACAAACCCCCTTGCAGTTCCTTCACAAACCCGTTTGGTAAACCTTGACGTAATGTAATGTTTGACGCACTTTATGTTGTTAGTAACAATGAATGGAATATATTTTCTTTGCATTTTTATATCAATATCAGAATCAGAATCAGAATCAGAAGAGCTTTATTACCAAGTATGTTTACACACACAAGGAATTTGACTTGACGACAGGAGCTTCCAGTGTAGAAGAAAGTACAAACATAGTGCAGACATACATGATAGTGCAGACATACATAGGAATAACACAGTAGGGATGTAATATAACACTAATATAATAAAAAAGAAAAATTGAATAATGTACTATATACAGAAATAGAAGTATAGGAAAAAATGTAATTATTTAGATAAATGTACAGATATGTTTATTAGTGTGCAGATATGTTATTTACAAAGTGTGCAGTTTAATATAAGTATAACATAACTATGTTAGTTGTGATGGACGATGTATAATTATGAAAGATTAATTGTTCAGACTGAATATAGCCTGTGGGAAAAAACTGTTCTTGTGCCTGGCTGTTCTGGTGGTCAGTGCTCTGTAGCGACGGCCAGAAGGCAACAGTTCGAAGAGAGTGGGCTGGGTGTGAGGGGTCCAAGGTGATTCTCTTAGCCCTTTTCCTCACTCTGGAGGTGTAAAGATCTTACAGATCTTTTGCAACCTGTTTGCTACCTCGTTTAAAACTCAAGTCTATTTCAGGAAACAAAAGTTGCTGCTCCAGCTTTTGTGGAACGCGTCCTGGCTGCCATTTGCGGCGCCATCTTGAAAGGTGACTTATTGTAATATGGTACAAGACTATTCTATTTAAATCAATGTGATAAAGGAGTTAGGTCAAAAGTAATCTGAAAGTAATCAAAAAGAGGTCTGATTATATTACCTAAAATGTGTGATGTAATGGATTACATTACTAACTACAATGATTGTCATGTAATTTGGAATCAGTAATGGATTACAGTTTCAAGTAATCTACCCAGCTCTGCTGGCTTGTCAGTCTGTGCATTAGTGGTGGGAATTTTTCAGTGGATCTTTCTTCAGGTTACATCATTAAGCCAGTAGGTGGTGACAAGTGTATTACATTGTGAGTGAGATATTGAATCATTTACTTAAAGGGGTCATATGATGTTGCTAAAAAGAACATTATTTTGTG